TCGACCTCTCTTATATGCCCTATCTACAATTCTCTGTGTTATTTTCCACGTTTTTTGTTCTGATACATTTTATGCATCTCATATAACATATTAGCTTGTCTTGTCTTCTGCTATCTTGCATGACCGGCCACAGTCTGCACGTATACATGTACAGTCTTCCAACTGCAGAATAGTTGGCTTGTATTTTCATGTGGGCCTTCATTCGGTCATATTGTGCTTTCCATCCTTGCACACAGCAAATGCATCTTGTCTATCTCTTGTACATATAAAGCACATGCTTCCTAGCGCTATACCTTTCTTCCTGGTCCAAAGCTAGTGAGTGGCAAACGGTATCTATGTAGTGCAACATAGCAACATAGTACGAATATGGCCGCCGAGGGGCTGGTTTTTCCAGTACCTGGTGGACCCTGGACCACCTGAGGCATGGCGCCGTTGCTGAAACATCCATGGCATGGCCAATCTTACCATGTCAAAAGTGTTTTTTAATAGCTGGTATCCCCAATATATAGCGGCAAAGATTTCAAGTCCAAAACAACCCATCCAAAACTAACCCAATGTCTGAGACAGTCTGCCTGATTAACAACATGTTCCCGCATGCTTTTCATACGTATATAAGCTGCCAAACATGTCTTCCGTGTCTGCAGATGGCAGTGAAATCTGTCCTCATCCTGGTCCTAGCCAATAAAGTTTGCTTCGCACGACTCGACACTGTGCTGCGCTTTGTAACTGACCTGAACCCTTGCAATGCCTTACAACCAAGGATCAAACATATTAAGCAATATTGAACATAGTTGAAGGGTTGAGGTGTGGATTCAACATAGCTCAATGATCCCTGGGCTTGAAACTTCAAGAACCCCCATCTTTACCGGGGCGGCAATTTGGGTGGAACCCAACTTTCATCTTTCATCACCGGAAGAGGCTGGGCGAAGCTAGTTTTGGTGCCCTCCTAGCAGTGCCTCACTGCTGGGTCCCTCACAGTACATGTTCTTTTGAGGGCTGCATGCAGGGCACTCCTCTGATTCAGGGCCGCAAACTGAGGACAATCACACTACCATGGAATGCCACCATCTTCAAATCACGTACAACATACCACACAGTGCAATCGTAAATCATTCCGGCTGTTTGTTTGTTGCCACATAGTAGGAGACATCATGACATAGCTGCAAGCAAACAGAAAGAACTATAGATCTTGGTACTTGACTTACAAAAAATCATGATGATCATGAATCATGGCTGTAAAATCATGACCGGTAAAACTTGATCATGAATCATAATCTATCACTGACTACAGCCTTATACATCCTGACCAACAATGCAGAAAGCGGATTCGCTGGACCAAGAAGCTGCAGGACCACCCGAATATCCTCACCAATTGGCATGAGCCACAACAGATACTGCCCAGACGCTAAAGCAAAAGCAAGAATTTAGGCAAAAAAGAAGGCAACAATGGCAGATTGCGAAAGACATGGAAAGACCAAACAGACAAGAGGCGAGCATCCAACAGCAACCAACAGCAAAAAGCAGATGCCGTCCCTCCCAGTTTCGCCACCACCTTCCAGACGGTACCTGAGGACTAGGTATGGCTGGCAAGCCCGGTCCTCTGAGAGTGATTGAGGTTTTCCACCTGTGTCATGAAATGCTAGCGAGAAGCAGGTTGGCACTCTGTGCTAGTTTGGCTGTTGGCCTGGCTTGTTCTTTTTCCCAGAACGTACATTCTGTATGAATCAAACTATATAAACTATACAATAAATACAATATGTGAAAGCAGAGACGGCAAATTGCCTTGACTTTCGAACCTCTCAATCTTTGACAAAACTCCCAGTCACCTTTTTGAAGGCGCTAGATTTGCTGCATTGCTGCATCTGTTTTGCCTCGTCCACTTGCTTCTGTGCCTGACAGGACAATGGCACCCTGTCGCACTCTGAACAGCACCCGACAGCCACCTGGACCGGGCCTGCAGTAGCCTGTCCTCGCGGTAATCGTCAACTAGCTCGCACTCCGCCAGCTGCCTACAACCTGGATATCGCAAGGTTTTGACAAATCCGGCCTTGATTTGGTTTGACAAATGGCTCTGATGAGGGCCTTCCTGAGGTTCTGGTAGAATCATCGGGATGTTTTCTGTTGGCAAAACACGTTCTTCAGGAAAATTTCCAGGAGATGGACATAGCATCATTCTGACTACATAATGCATCCAGTGTGCATATATGACTGCTCTAAGTATTGAAAACATACAAACATATAGACTTCAAATCATACCCCATAGGATCCATGTATGCTATATATGATGACATTTACCATCAATATACCCCAAATGTTAGCATATATACCATACATGGATCCTATGGGTACTTAAATGTATGATGATTCAACGTATGATTCATTGTATGCGCGTCTGTTGGACATCTCACAATGGTAGGTTTGTAGAGGCCACCGGGACGGATGAGAAGGGGCTTCATCTCCAGGGCTTCATGTAGCACAACAGTGCAGAAAAAAAACATGGGTATATGAAATCATATACACCATATATATGATGGTATATATGATGGTATATTTATGATATTATATGATGGTATATATGATGGTATATATATATATGATATTATATGATGGTATGATGGTATATATTGGAGACATGCGATAATTGCAAATAAAATACAGAATGAGTCCACCATTTGTGGGTATGAAATCAATGACAAGAATACGTACCCTCTGGTAAACTAACATAACTATGGAGAATCACCATTTTTAATGGGAAAACTCACTATAAATGGCCATTTTCAATAGCTATGTTAGTTTACCAGAGTGTAGATATATGTAGGGAAGCATAAGAGAGCAAGGAGACACGCATGCCGATGAAATCCGAAACGTTACTGTGCGACAGAGTATATCAGATATCAATCTTGTTCAGGAATCAAGGCATTTCATTCACTTTGTTGAAAAGGGACAGCTGAGTTTTCTGTGCCGAACATCATACCACAGCGCTGCAAAAAAACATCCAGTCATCCCTTCCCAGGTTTTCACCCAGACACGCTTCCGTCTCTTCAGCTTCTCACGCTCCGAGGACTGCGTATCCAGGGAAAATTTCGGGCTCGAAAAAAATCCTACGATGCAATTCCTGCACCAAAAGGATGCTTGAAGCCCAATCATAGCAATTATGGGATAAACCGAGTGATAAACCACCTATCAACTGGTGCACGATTTCTTGCACCGTATGATTACTGGCACTTCAATGTATTTGTGGAACTATCCTATTGTCCTATGATTACTATGGGTACTCTCACCCCATTTCAAGAGTTTTGTAGCGACCGAGTCTCCTAGTGGCTTTCCGCCGGCCCTGGACCTCGCTGGAGGAGCTGTTCTTTCCCCTGCCGCAGGGTAAAATGGGAACCAAACTTTTGATGATGATGATGATGATGATGATGATGTTGGTATATCATTGGTAAATCAATCCAAATCATGGAATAGTCATGGAGTAAACTTGGATGGAACAATGGAACATCTACTGAAAGTTCTCAACTTGGGACACCAACACTGACTAACATCCAAAAAATGGGATAGTGGTGGGCTGTCAATAGCTCAAGCTGATTAGATGTCCATTAGCTTTCTGCATACCTGGATCGCCATTGTGATTTTTCAAAAATGGTCCACCCCTGCGTAACATCAAGGCCGTCGCTCGTGGGAATGCATCCCCTATCACCAAATCTGGAGGAAACAACATAAAACAATACTAGTCCTTGCTAGAAATTCTCGCTGAGAACAAATCCTTCCATCCTTTCAGAATTCTGAAAGATTTCAAGGTGACATTCTGCAACTATGGATTGGATTCCTGCGTAGGCCAGAACTGCCAGAACTAGTCACGTGATGCTATAGCTGTATGGCGGTTGTATACTGGGTCCAGTACAGACAAAAGAACCTGCAGGTATTTTAGTCGAGAGATCGAGAGACATGTGGGATTTAGTTCCCACGGACTGAAAACAGTCCTCCTCGTCATAAACACAATCATCACAAGGCTTCCCAGAAACTACCCTCTGGTAAACTATGGTAAACTAACATAGCTATGGAAAATCACCATCTTTAATAGGTAAATCAACTATAAATGGGCCATTTTCAATAGCTATGTTAAATTTCCGGAGGGTATTGCACACGATTCTACTGTTACATTTATTCTGATTTCCAACATTCGCCGCCTCTTTCTCCTTGCTTTGGAAGGACTCCTATGATGGCATTGCTTGGGCCCTCCAGGTTGTCTAGGGACTGTTCATCTAGTTTGTTTTTGATATGTGACAAATGCATGAGATACAAATTGATACAAATGTAAATTCCTACACGATATAGACTACGGTATAGACAAATATTCCGTGCAATTCTTTGTCTGGCTTTCCTGATGAACATCCATCAAAACAATGATGTTCACTTCTGCAGCCCTATCCACCCATCCATCCCCGATCGCTAGGAGCCGTTAGGAGCCGCTAGGATGTCACGAGTAAATGTCGTTACGGAAATGTCTGTCTCAGATCATCATTTCATGCTGCCTCCGAGGCTTCTTTTCCTGTCCAGATGCTGAGATTAGTGAGATCAGTTGCATCCTACCATTCATATGCGGTACTGGGCAGGGCTGCTAGGATTAAGATAGGATTCAGTCACATTGAATTAATGATCACTGGTTTTTCATCATCCGTCCCATCCCATGGGAATCCGATGTAAATTTCTCCCCTCAACGGATTCATATGGATGACGATCCCCCAGTCGGACAGGGTACACATTACCCAACTCTTCAAGCGATGAAGCGATGGGACATCCAGCCTCCACTCTCTTGTGACCTGATTCCTCCTGATTCTGCCAATGCATGGCCCATCGATCAGCCATTCCCACAGGCGCAGCTGTCTCGGCTGGAGGATAGGAACATGAAAGAACAAATGGCAGCTGCTCAGGCAAAAAGACATGCCAGCCCAACGAATATTCGATTGCAGCAATTAGTGGCAATTATATAAATCAATTACTTAAAAGATCAGTTTTCTACAGCCCCAAGAATTCGTATAGCAACGAGCGCTGGGGCCCAGTGCCATGAGCTCCACAATCGGCTGCACTCTCACTGCGTGGTTCAAGCCCAAGAGTGCCTGAACTGCGATCTTCGGCACTGAAGCAAAAGAGTGGCAGAGTCATGCAGAGTCAACAGTTCCACCGAGAAATTCTTAGTCTGTTTGAAGCCAAGCATCTCTTAATATACATGCATATACATATCATACAGTGATTGCGCCTTTCAATTGGAATATACATTGAAAATACCGCGTATACCATGAAATTATATGTGTGTCACATTTGCAGGTCAGCCAGAGAAAAAAAAAGGTGAATCCTGACCCATTGGGGCGGCTGCCCACATCTGCCGCTCGTAGACTGTAGCATTTGCGGACTTATCCACACGCCACAGCTTCTCTCGGCAATCCTGGGCAAACTGAGGTCTGGAGTAATCAAATATCAGCCTGTATCAGCCCAGCCTCGACGTGGCATCTAAGGGTATGTTGACATGCAAAGGTCGAAGCTGAGTTGTTGGAACGGCATTGAATGAGAGAATATCCAGATTCCGAATCAAAAGCCAGCAAGAAGACAAAACTTCCGTATTTCCGACCCAGGGATCTTCTATGGCAATATCATGCAATATTCAACCCAGGACGGACATCCAGAAGTCATCCACCCTGCCAAGCCCTGCGCCCTGCCGCTCCTCCGGAAAAATGCCTCGTATTTGAACAATCAGAGTCCCTCCGGGCCTCGGTATACAGGAAGGCCTGAGCATTCGATGATAAAAATCTTGCGAAAGCTGGTTTTCCATGGGTTTTCCCAAGGGTAAATCTAGCTAAATATGATGCAATATGTTTCAAAGCAAGAAATTGTTCAAAGCCGGAAGGTTCCATCACAAATTATTTTAGCGAACTTCTGCCCAGTGTTTTCACTGGAGCTGCATCGATAACAAGGACTGCAACTTTCCCTCCACCATCCAAGGATAACAGTATCCCATCCAAAAGAAAACTGCACAGATCTTTTCTGTCAACCTCTCTTTGTGCGAACAAAACATGGGTGAGTCACGGTGAGTCGTCAACCTGTACGATGAGACACCGACTCGACAGTCAGACTCTTTAAATTTGTCTCCACAAGTCACGAAACAAACATCTCAGTGATCACGTTTGATTCGATGCCTTCATCCGACACTCCTTCAAATCCTTCAATATTGGGAGATCTTCGGAGGATACATCAACTGCCTCCCTCCAGTATATCCATGTATATCCTTTCATATCCAGTCCCTCCGAACGTCTGGGCCCGTCCAACCGAATGTCATTGATTGTTCCTTCAGCCAACTTGTCCTGTTTTATGCTGGTCCGAACGATCCGATCTGTCCAAAAATGCTGAGAACATGCTCCAAAATGCTCCAAATCATCTAATCTGTCCTGGACAGATCATCGCTAGTACTAATCATCCTATTCCCCCAGTCCCTACCTGCTGCACTGGTGGAAAATGGTGGAAAAAAAAGTAATATCATGTAATATCACTCTTTGATCATTCCCATTCCCATCACTATAATCATCCCAGTACCATCTGGTTATTTAACATAGCCATGGAAAATCCCGTAAATAAATGGAGGTTTTAATGATTCTTAATGGGAAAATCATCTATTTCTATGGGCCATCTATACCATGGCTATGTTAGTCATAACCAGAGGGTAACTCTGAACACAGTCACCCCACCACCATAACCTCGATATTTCTCATGGGCGATCAAGAGATGCGCTGAAATCCCTCCAAAACGAGAGTAATTGGTGTGGTGTACTCAGCCCACTATAATCATCCCAGTCTATGGTGAAAAAAACTGGTCCAAAAAACCCACTGGTGGGGGCTGGAACCCTCGATGACGAAGAATTCTAACATCGCCCTCCTGCAGGGGATCCGTCGTCGAGATGGTCACGGAGTCTCCCCTGGACGCTGAAAACATTGGACGACTGGATCTGGTGATATCTGGTGGTAAAAACATACAAAAACTATCAAAAACTATGGGACATGACTGAAAATAGTGAATTTTCCCATGACAAATGGTGATGTTCCATAGTTTTTTGTATGTTTAACAGAGGGTATCTGGTGATATGTTTCGTAAGACAACGATTAAACAAATGTTGGCAGAGAAGCAACATCTGCGACAACCTCGCACAGTAAACACCATTCTGACCTCAAACTCTATTTCGGTGTCAGGGTTAATGTGAAGAAGTACCCTCTGGTAAACGTTTACATAACTATGGAAAATCACCATGTTCAATGGGAAAATCCATTATTTCGACTGGGCAATTTTCAATAGCTACGTTAAATTACCAGAGGGTAAAGCATGTAAAAAGAGCCACCTTTTCCACGTGACCGTTTCAACGACATCCACATCGAGATGCACCCCACGGCGTCTCACGCTTGGAATATGTTGGAATCAATCCAACAACTCATGGTGAAGGACCGCCCGAAACAGGACACAGTATTGGGAAGTGAGACACATATGAGAAACATATATATGACATATGAGAAGATGTGGCCCTTTGGGATACAATTTCAATGGTATCAGATTCCAAAAACATCCAAAAACCATGGTACAAAATGCGTTCCACATATAGACCTGCCGGTTGACAGGTTAAACCGGCTATCGATGACGGATCCGGGCCACCTTCGAATACGCATCCGGTCCACATCAACATTGTTCATGGGCAGTTGCATGGCCGCCATCCTGGTACTTGGCAACGGCCAAATCTGGACTGTCGGTATTTCATGATTCATCACCGGAACTCATTGGATACATCTGACAAACCCTACAATGCATGAACTCTATGTTTGTATGATATGAATAGGATAGTGATGAGACGGTTCGGAACTGATCCAAAGACAAACTTGCAAAATTATTGTGAGCCTAGGGTGGGTCCCACTTCAATCACAAGTCCCTGCTTTTTATCAATGAACTGTGCAAGAGCGAAAACCCTCATCAATGACAACCACAGAATTGTCTTTCCAGAACGACCAGGGAAAAGCAACTACAGTAGGGTTTCGAAGGCAAGTATAACGACATGCTCTGAAAACACAATCGCCAAAACATGGGGCCACAATGATGAGCTGCCAGAACGACCCAGTAAATTATGGTTCAAATTTTAATGCATCCTTTTTTCTTGGGGGTGTGGTGAAAGCAATACACGCAAGACACACTGTACTTGTACTCACTGCAACACTGTACTCTTTCAACCCAACAAATCAAAGGTGCAAGTCCTTCAGGTTCATCATAGAGATCCATAATATTTTGCATGTATATGTATACGGTATACGTATGTTCTAAAATATATTACATATATTACACATCCCATAGGATCCATGGTGCTGGTATATATGCTAACATGACTGGGGTATATTGATGGGATCCATGTTAACATATATAGCAGCACCATGGATCCTATGGGTATTGATAGATATTGTCACATGATTCCTAACTGCCAAGTGGCAATCCCTGGGTGCCCACGCTCTGTGCCAATATCATCCCAACCAGGTAAGATCCTACCCTGGCGGTTGCCCACCTGACATGTCTTGCCATGTCTTGCCATGTCGACCCACCAAAAAATGCCGAAATGTCATGAATGTACCATTTACACCACTGATGTACCACTGTGTTTCTATCAAGCAAATTGGTAAGATCTTACGTTTCTATCCTTTTTGGGGTTTGCACATGTTCCAAGGGCTGAAACCAACTTTGGTCGCAAACAATAACTATCGCACATATCCCAATCATGTTCAAATCCCGCAGCTCTCCTCAAGGTGCTGGCAATGAAATCCTCAAGTTTGACAATGCTCGTATTCCTAGTTGTGCACATATCCTACTAATGTCTACTATACTGTGTAAATAATTATATTAAACTAAATTTATGATTTATTAAATGTATTTTGATCATGTTGTAGTTGTTTTTATCATATGATATTGTATCATTTTTTTACTAAATTGTCAAAGGAAGTTGGGAAGCAGTTTTCTAAGTTACGGATGACTTTTATTCAAGTGACTTTACATCACATAACAATACATCATGAAAGGCGGTGTGACTTTACAGCACATAACAATACATCATGAAGGGTCGCGTGAGACTGTACAGCACATAACAATACATCATGAAGGGTGGTGTGAGGCTTTATTACAGCACATAACAATACTAAGGCATTGTAATGGCTGCATGAATGTTGCATGGGGTTTGTGCTGGCACGAAACCTTGTGCTTTTCCGTGTAAAGTGGCTGCAGGCGGCGATGAAGGGCAGCTCGTGTGTGAGGCGGTTGCGGGCACACTCGTTTTGATGTTTTTTGGTGCTCCCTTGGTGTTCTATTGTGTTCTGCACTTTGCGTGTCTTCGTGTGTGCGCAATTCTTTTCGGTTGTGGAATCCCTGGCTGCAGATCGCATTGGAATGGCTGGATGAATGCTGTCATGTTTTGTTGCCATGTGCGTGATGACATGCGGGTTTGCCACGTGATGTTGCTAAACGCATTGTAATGGTTGCATCAAGGTTGCTTGGTGCCGCCCCTGCATGCGTAATACTATTGTCTTTTGCAGCTGGACATCGTTAATCGTATTGGAGTGGCTGCACCAAGGCTGCGATAGTTATTTGTCAGCAGATTTTCACAATTTTGACGCCGGATATTTTCCTTTTAAAAATGTTTTTAAAAAGTGCTTCAAAATTTTTGTTTTCCTGCTTTGGCGTCGAGATCCGGTTTTGGAGCTGCAATCCCTGTTGTGATTATGTACAAGAAAGTTTCTCTGTGCATTTTTTCTGTAAAAGCTTGATGTGTGCAACAGATTTTGTGTGTAAAAACTTCAAAATCGTATTTTTTGCGTTGGCGCCGAGATCCGGTGGTACTTAGTACTGGGACGTGCTTTGTGCAAGCTTTGTAGTGCAAAGTAGTACTGGGAAGTGCTTTGTGCTAGTTTCGTAGTACAAAAAAGTACTGGGAAGTACTTTGTGCAAGCCTTGTAATACAAAGTAGTACTGGGAAGTGCTTTGTGCAAGCTTTGTAGTGCAATGTAGTACTGGGAAGTGCATTTGTGCAAGGTTTGTAGTACAAAGTAGTACTGGGAAGTGCTTTGTGCAAGCTTTGTAGTGCAAAGTAGTACTGGAACGTGCTTTGTGCAAGCTTTGTAGTACAAAGTAGTACTGGGAAGTGCTTTGTGCAAGCTTTGTAGTGCAATGTAGTACTGGGAAGTGCTTTGTGCTAGTTTTGTAGTACAAAAAAGTACTGGGAAGTACTTTGTGCAAGCCTTGTAGTACAAAGTAGTACTGGGAAGTGCTTTGTGCAAGCTTTGTAGTGCAATGTAGTACTGGGAAGTGCATTTGTGCAAGCTTTGTAGTACAAAGAAGTACTGGGAAGTTTTTTGTGCTGGGAAGTGCTTTGTGCAAGCTTTGTAGTACAAAGTAGTACTGGTGCAAGCTGTGTAACACACAGTAGTACTGGGAAGTGCTTTGTGCAAGCTTTGTAGTACAAAGTAGTGCTGGAAAGTATTTTGTTCAAGCTTCGTAGTACAAAGTAGTACTGGGACGTGCTTTGTGCTAGTACAAAAGAGTACTGGGAAGTACTTTGTGCAAGCTGTGTAGTACAAAGTAGTACTGGAAAGTACTTTGTGCAAGCTTTGCTTGTGCAAGCTTTGTAATGCAAAGTAGTACTGGGAAATACTTTGTGCAAGCTTTGTAGTGCAAAGTAGTACTGGGAAGTACTTTGTTCAAGCTTTGTAGTACAAAGTAGTACTGGGACGTGCTTTGTCCCAGCTTTGTAGTACAAAGTAGTACTGGGAAGTACTTTGTGCAAGCTGTGTGGTACAGTAGTACTGTGAAGTACTTTGTGCAAGCTTTGTTCGAGCAAGCATTGTAGTGCAAAGCAGTGCTGGGAAGTACTTTGTGCAAGCTTTGTTCGAGCAAGCATTGTAGTGCAAAGCAGTGCTGGGAAGTACTTTGTGCAAGCTTTGTAATGCAAAGTAGAAAAAGGGAGAGCTTTGTAATACACAGTAGTACTGGGACGTGCTTTGCGCAAGCTTTGTAATGCGAAGTGCAAGCATTGTAGTACAAAGTAGTACTGGGACGTGCTTTGTGCTAGTTTTGTAGTACAAAAAAGTACTGGGAAGTGCATTTGTGCAAGCTATGTAGTACAAAGTAGTACTGGGACGTGCTTTGTGCTAGTTTTGTAGTACAAAGTAATAATGGGAAGTACTTTGTGCAAGCTTTGTAGTGCAAAGAAGTACTTGCAAGCTTTGTAGTACAAAGTAGTACTGGGAAGTGCTTTGTGCATGCTTTGTAGTACATAGTAGTGCCGAGAAGTGCTTTGTGCAAGCTTTGCAGTACAAAGTATTTTCGTAAAGGTCTTTCTGTGTAAATGCTGTCCCACGCTTCTGTGTGGAAAGGCTTTCTGCGCGCAATGTTTTTTGTGCAAGAGGCTTCTCTCTGGTTGAGAAGAACTTCGAGGAGATGAGAAAGGTTGATCAGTGCTCGGATGAGAGTTGAGAAGAACTTACTTGGACGAAATGTGAGAAGAGATGGGATGAGATGAGAAGAGCTGAGATAAGGCGAGACGAGGTGAGAAGAGCTGAGATGAGGTGAGATAAGATGAAGAGTGAAGTGTGAAGTGCAGGGTGTAAGAGCGCAGTGTTCGCTTGGCGTTGCATTGCACCGGGGTCGCGCGTAGGTCATGTTCTTGGACAACAACAGTGCAACAGGTTCGCACAAAGCACGCACGCACGGGTCTGGCTGGCGCACAGTGCATGCAAGTTCTATAGATGAGAAAGGATTTATAGTATATTCCTAAGGCAACTTCCGCCCCGCCTCGTGCGGGTACTACTGGTATTGCTATATGTGTTTTTTTTTTAATGGTATCATATTCCATCATAGCATGTTAGTTTAGCTTACATCGTATTATAATATTTCATTTTATATTACATAATCCATGTCTATATGATATGATATAGAATAATAAAATACAATATAGCATCATACGATTTAATATGACAGGAAGTAATCATATTCAATATCAAATATTAATAATAGAAAAAATCAGTAACACTAAAATATAATATAATGCAAAATATAACAATGTGGTGTAATTGAATAATATACCGGTACCATACTGTAATATAGTATAGTACAAGTTATATGTATATAATTAATACGCTTTGACAGGTTTTGGCTACTACTTTTGCCACTGAAGTGTTTCACAGATGTGGAGACTATAGCACAAGGTAGCGTCGGCCTCACGACGCCCGAAGGTGCTTAAGATCTTGAGATCACTCAAGGCGTAGCCCCATCGAACCAGCTGATCAGCGCTGCTCCTGTCTTCGCCAAGACACTAGATGGTCACCAAGGGATCCAGTCAAATTACCACAAAATACACAAAAATCATTGAAGATCCATGAAAATCATCGGAAATCCCATGAACACCCATAAAAACCTCATGAACATCCCATGGCACATCCATTACACCGAAGATCACAATGGAACAGCCAAGTTCTTTGAAAAACGCGGTGCTTAAAAAAACGAGGGCCCGAGGTCTTGACAGCTCCAGAAAGTAGAACAGTTGAATGATTTGTAGCATCATGTCGACCTAGAAATCCAGCTGCCACATCCTATTAATTTCATGTACATGTTTATGTTTAATAGTGTTGAATAGTGTTAGAACCCCATTCGGCCCGATACTTTGCTTTCAAAACTGAAGCAGTGACCTCCGACCACCTCCCGGAATTCTCACCTCTCGCGACGTTTCTTGATGCTGGACACATCTGCCAAATGCTCCAAATGCGCTAAAACCACCTGGTGCTGCGAGGAATGTCAAGAGCCTACATCTTTGATCCCCAGCTGCAGAATCTGGGCTTGAAACAAAGTGTCCAAAGTATTCAGCGACCTTAGGGACTTGAAACATCTTGAAACGCTCCGATATTGATATATTGTGGCAGGGCGTAGAGTATAGCACGGAGCATGAACTTTGAATCAGGTAACACAAGTTGGCATCAACGCTGCAAGCAATATTTTCCGGAGATCATTTGGACAAGCCTGAAATATCTTGGAGAGGAACCATCTTACCAAGGATAGTCGGTGTCTTTCTATACGCAATCCTAGCCTTCAGAACAGCGATCAGGGATCTAATTCTTTAATCGAAGGACGGCGCAAGGGATTGTGCACCTTGTCAAAAGTGAGCAAAACGTGAGGGTTTTGTAGCATGTCCAAAAACGATGGCAGGGGTGGGACATTTGAAGAGGATCTGCAAAGATGCATTTTCCGTGGCAGGCGCAGTACAAGAGACATCAGAGATGTTGGGTCAGGGCGCTGATTTCCTGAGAGAGGTAAATTTTGGAGCATCAGATCTTCAGTTTTGGGAAGATTATTTTGCGCGACAGGCGCAGCACTTTGTATGACCTGGCATCACTTTTTCGTGGCAGGCGCAATGCTTCAGAGACATGGGCTGGAAAAATCGCAAAACGCATTGGTACGAGGCCGTCAGCTCTGCACTCAACTTTCCAATTTTTGAGAGACGTCTCGCAGAATTGCTTCGTTTTTGATGTTGTCAACTTAAAAAATGAAGACCTCTCGCAGAATTGCTGCGTTTTTGATGTTGCCAACTTCAAAAATTGAGGAAGTCTCGCAGAAGTGCTTCGTTTTTGATGTTGTCAAGTTCAAAAACTGAGGACGTCTCGCAGAATAGCTTTGTTTTCAAGCCTGCAGATAGAAAGAAAGATAGATAGATAGATAGATAGACAACTACAACTACCACTACAAACTACAAACTACAAACTACAAGTACAACTACAACTATAACTACGTAAAAAAAAAAAATATATATATATATAATTACAGCACACTACATTACAAATACAGCTACAACTACAACTACAACTACCAAGACAACTACAACAACAACAACAACAATAACTACTACAAGTACAACAACAACAACAACAACAACACCAACACCAGCAGCAACAACAACAACAACAACTACTACTACTACTACCACTACTACTACTACTACTACTACTACTACTACTACTACTACTACTACTACTACTACTACTACTACTACTACTACTACTTACTACTACTACTTACTACTACTACTTACTACTTACTACTACTACTTACTACTACTACTACTACTACACTACTACACTACTACTACTACTGCTACTACTACTGCTACTGCTACTGCTACTGCTACTGCTACTGCTACTGCTACTGCTACTGCTACTGCTACTGCTACTACTGCTACTATTGCTACTACTGCTACTACTGCTACTACTGCTACTACTGCTACTACTGCTACTACTGCTACTACTACTACTACTAATACTAATACTAATACTAATGCTAGTACTACTACTACTACTACTACTACTACAACTACTACTGCTACTGCTGCTACTATCTCACTGCACTACACAACACTACGCTACACTATACTACACTAGAGTACACAACACGGAAGTACACTACACTACAGTACATGACAGTACGCTACATTACACTACACCACTTGACAACTACAACTACAACTACAACTACAACAAATACAGCTGCACTACACCAATTACAATACGCTACAACTACAACTCCACTACACTACACTACAACTACAACTACAACTGCACCACACCACACGACATCCAGCAGTTGTGGGTGAGGTGACCACTGCAACCATTGCAACCACTCCCAGAAACACAACTCCAACCACCTTTCGGTCCATCAGTGGATTCGCTCTGCCATCTGGGATTCACAACAACCAACCTCTCCTATAGGTTTCCTATTTTTGAAACTTCCGCCACCGCCTTGTGCGGTACTACTGGTATGAATCGATTCTCAGCAACCAGCACAGTCCAAGAGTCAAACTTTCAGCCAAGGCCAAAACATGCAAAGAGGCAAACAGATCCAGAAATTCTATAGACAAGGTTCTCAACAAATGATGATTGCAGTTCCATTCAAAAACAAATATGTTTGATTTTCACAGGAGGACAATGGAGGACAATTGGCTTGATGCTGAGGATACCTTGCCAGAGCGGACAACCTTCAAAGAAGCCCACTGGGCTATCCAACACATGAATCTGAGCAAGAAATGTGACCACGTAGTTGCGTCAAGTCCAAGAATTCCAAGGCCTAGACAGGTGCAGCTTGGTGCAGCTTGGTGCCACCTGTACCACCTTTGTGTGTTCTAACAGCAGCACCAAATGACCAATGGATATCAGTCCTGCCGGGCAGCCCGCACGTCGGTCCTTAAGTGGGTCTACCAAACAATTCGCAACATCATCAAATAGAAACGTACAGGATTTCATTCTTGTCATGTCTTTTCTAGAGTTTCAAACAAGCTGACGGCGTACCAACATGTCCCTAGCATGGTCTTTCGAGCGATTTGCTTGGTAGGATTCGTGCCATTTTGCGTGGCTTTTAAGCTGCAACCAAGCATCCCTGGCATCGCTGATGTGGTAGGGGGGCCTGGGCCAGAATGTCCAACGGTTGCACAGTTTCTGTGAAGTTTGCCATATGTCCTCCTTCATCACTTAAACAAGAGAACCAAAGATACCCAAAGTGCCAAGAACTGCGTGATTTCGCAAAACATATCTCTTCCATGGCAAATGTTTGGGATCACTGAGATTCATTCTGTAAATGTGCCATATCAAGTCACTCCCGTTCACATCAGCGCCGGTAGAAGTTGTAGGCACCGTTACCTGGATAGAGACTGCTTACAGACCCCAACATGGGAACTTGCTGAGTAAATCCCAAACTTGTAGACGCTTGGTTTTATGGCTTGGTTTTTTTCGGGTCTGGCCGAAAAGAGAACATGTTAAAACTGAATGTCCTGTATGTAAATGTTCTGTATTAGTTTTGTTAAAACATAGACATACACAATGAAAAGACACACGCAAAACAAAATCAAATTCATCAAATCAACAATATTCAGGACAAGGGCAACTACTAAACATCCTAAACCAATACGAAATGTTGGGAATAAACCCATTCTTAATGGGTTAAATCAACTATTTCGCCATTTTCAATAGCTATGGTAACATCAATTACCAGAACAAATAGCTATGGAGTAACCTTATTTGGTAATATCAACTATAATCTACAATTGATTCGTTAAATTACCAGAGGGTAGGTATTGGGGGTTTCCATAAATAGATGGGCCGGGAGCTGGTATACCATCTATCATCATTTACCCAACATTAACAAAACATTTACCCATCATTTACCCATCATTTCCCCAACATTTACCCATCATTTACCCATCATTTACCCATCATGTACCCAACATTTACCCAACATTTATCCATCATTTACCCATCATGTACCCAACATTTACCCAACATTTACCCATCATGTACCCAACATTTACCAAACATTTACCCAACATTTACCCATCATTTACCCATCATTTACCCATCATTTACCCATCATTTACCCATCATTTGCCCAACATTTACCCATCATTTACCCATCATTTACCCATCATTTACCCAACATTTACCCAACATTTACCCATCATGTACCCAACATTTACCAAACATTTACCCAACATTTACCCATCATTTACCCATCATTTACCCATCATTTACCCAACATTTACCCATCATTTACGCAACATTTACCCATCATTTACCCAACATTTACCCATCATTTACCCATCATTTACCCATCATTTACCCAACATTTACCCAACATTTACCCATCATTTACCCAACATTTACCCATCATTTACCCAACATTTACCCAACATTTACCCATCATTTACCCACCATTTACCCAACATGTACCCAACATTTACCCATCATTTACCCACCATTTACCCAACATGTACCCAACATTTACCCATCATTTACCCAACATAAGTAACATCAAATCAACAATTGCCATCTGCCTGCTGCACGAAACCACCCGGATCATCTTCTTTGGATCCATCATGGTAGACTGCCTGATCGACCGGTAACTGTGGTCATCCATGAGATTTATTGTCCCAAATGGCACAGATGGTGATTTGAATGATATATATATATATAATAATAATATATATATATAAATAGAAACAAATATATATATAAATAAATATATATATATATATAAATACATATATATATATAAATAGTAATATATATATATATATATATGAATTCCGAAACACCATGAAACACAACAATCTATACTAATCTATATCGGGTCTCCAGTGCTGATCTTTTAGCTCGTTTCTTGTTGGACTGTTGCCGAGCCTGCCAGCCACTGCAGGGAGGAGAACGGACCTGTCGGACACCAACGAGCAGCGCAACTCGACTTACTACATTTTAGAAAGGCATAATCATAGATCTATCATGATCTATCTATGAAGGTTATGTATCTTCATCTATGATCGTCTAGCTTCATTTATCCATCATCTATCCTTTTTCGCCAAGTGCGAAAGTCGCCGCACCTCTTGAGTGTTTGTCAGAAGAACTTGGCCATTGAGACCTTTGCTGATGACCTCAGCTTGTGCAGACACTGCGGTTCAAGGCGCCCATTGAATCCATCATCCCCCAGCCGCTAGCCAAGCTGAGATCAGAAGCCCAAGCACTTTCCGGCTTTTCACGGTACAAAACATAGATCTGGGCCTCCTGAAACAAGACATTCTCGTTAGCGAAACACAATATGAATGAATCAAACATATGTATATATATATATATACATATATATATATATTGGAATGTTCATGTTGCCTTACAACTTCCTGCTCCAAACTAATAAACTCCAATGAAAAGTCTAGCTCCATGTCGCCATCTGGTGTCATAGACAAGATTGATGCTCAGATTTCTTTTCTTACACTGGGACCGTGTCAGCACAATGAGAGGCAATAGTTTCATGATGTTTCATGACTCTAGACTCTAGACTCTAGCAGCTCTAGCATGA